AATATTGTAACTACAAACTTGTAAGAAGAAAAATAATATATAAATAATGTAAGTTTTTGTTGAGTCTACATATGCAGATTCGTTTTAGCGAGGAGCATCAATTGTGATTAGCGAACCATCTATAATGCCTGCTATTCTAGGTATATTATTTTATCAAAAATCTAGGGCTATCGAGTCAATTAGTTGGCCTGCAAACTTCTCTAGATAATTTTTCAATTCAGTTATTTATCGTTCTTTTAGTTACACCATGTGCATCTGCTATAACATGGTATTGTGAGCTACAGCCTATCTAGTGCAGTGCACTGCACACAAAATTAGCCGAGTAGGTGAAAGGGCTGTATTTTTCTTAGAATTTCAGATTTCTTAGATTTTCATTACCAAATATTCGACGGTATTTTGCTGACCCGAAATGTTTCGTTGAACGTTAAATCTGAAACATCAAAAGTAAAGTTATGTTTATGAAAAACTCGCTGCTGCCGTACGTTCATATATTCATCATTACTACTGTCACTACTTCCACTACTAGTTGTTTGAACCATTTTTTAATGTATACCAATTAAATTTCTTCACTTATTAAATTGAGGTACAAAATTGTTAAGTTCTGACACAAGGCGAGTCCACCTGTCGGAATTGTTTTACAATTTACAAAATATGTAAATTTGTAACTACAATTATGCGTACAATAAAACAGTTTTCCTTACAAATATGTAAATTGTCACTTGTAAAGGGAAAATGTTTATTGAACAGAAATATGTAAAATTGTACGTACAATTTTACATATTTTTTTAGTTTTCCACCATGGTAAATATCTAAGTTGTATTCTTTATTAAACAGAAACTTGTAGCTTTATGACTTGTTAAATACAATTACAATTTGTAACGTTTATTAAACAGGGCCCTGGCGGTAATATTTCTATTCTAATATCGATATCCGTAACTCATCTGACAGGAATGACACCTCATAAATACTGCTATTTTTAAATAAAAGTAGATTTTATTAAAGTAGTTTAAATCAAAAAAAGTATTGAAATGCGTATGCGCACTAATATTGTTCCCGTTCATAATTATGCTTTGTTAATCCCGGCAATCAAGTCTAAACAACTTATCGAAATAATAAAATATCTAAGGATAATACTAAATAAACTCTATTTTGCATTTAGGAAATACTGAGCTTAGACAACTTTCAATAAGGTTAGAAAGTACATTAGAAAAACAAAAATTCCAGTACTAAGTGCATCTGAGAATAAAACTATATTTATTTTGGGAATTTTGCCACCTAAGTAAGTAGTAATGCGTTAACGGCAAATACGTGACAGGACAAAGTGCACCATTGTAATATTTTTTTAGTATTCGAAGGTAGTTTTTGTCGGAAATCTACCTACTTAGAATAACGCTGCGAGTCTGATATGTCGTGTTTCATTGTATCAACATTGAACAATAATTTAATTTATTATACCATAAAATCAAAATAACAAAATATATTAAGGCATTTAAAACAAATATAGATATAAAAGACCCAAATATCATACAATCACGTACTGGACACATCGCTATACCTACCGTTAACAAACTGAATGTCTGAATTTAAAATATTGAGATTTTGCAGTAATATAAATACCCTTAACATGGTTTAAAACTTACAGTAGAATTACTGACAAAAAAGAATTATCTATCAGCGTTATTCTGCTTAAAAAATATATAATTGATCACCGCGTCAATATGAAATATTAAAAAAAAATTGCACCACCGCCATATCATTGACACATTTTTTTATTGAAATGACAGTGTTTCATTTTGTAGTATACAATATGTCATATTTTATAGTCGCAATGGCTCCTTAGCTCCTTGACTCTGTCCATTGTTTGTTTCCTCCAATCACATAAATCTTGATTTCTAACGTACAAAAAAGCAATAGTAAATAATATGATTTGCGCAACCGATTGTACCCCTCGCAGGATAGAAATAATAATAAATTATAAACATTGTACCTGGTTTATAATAACATGATGTAAAGGTCTTCATTGTAATAAATATTTGAAATCGCCATTTTGTTTTCCTTCCCGCTCTTTAATTTTTCATGTTTTTTTTATTGATCCTGATTTTAGACGAACTTCGTCTAAAAAACAGCACAAAATAAATTTTAATGGAATTAAATTCTTTTTAACATAATGACTTTGGTTATTCGTCTCTTACGTTTTGAAAATAAAATTTAAAATTATTTCATATAGTAAACTGCTTAAAATGAATTACGATCTAATATTATAGAGCTAACATTTGTTAGTAATAAATCTTCATCTCAATGTGTCGTTAGTGTGATCTTTGCAGACATTTGCGTGTTACATTATTACTAAATTGTCGCTATTAAAAATCGTATTATTGAGTATTCAGAGAACATACTGCCTTCAAATCATGAAAGAAAATTGGCATTCTGTCTATGACGTTCAACATTAGGTCATCAACCTTTCTGTAATGCCACACCCACACTGAATGCCTGACCTCGGCAACTCACCAGGAACAATTTGCCAAATGGTTTTCTTATGATAGTTTTTTATATATTCATATGTTTTCTTGATATTTATATGTGAATATTTATAGGTGGTAACATCATTTGTAATTATAAATTCGATTAGAATTCATGTATGCTGTATGAATATAACCGCGGTAAAGTACCTATCGATTAACCGGCTTTAAGAGTAAACTGATCAAGGCGTAGAACTTAAGTGCAAGCGTGGTTATAATGTACGTTGTAGACTATACATAACACCTGACGTTACGGAAAAACTAGTCCGAGTATACGGTCTTTGTATAATGAAACATAAAGTTGCGATCGACGACTGCTACAGCGCAAAACTTCGCGGATTTTACTCCAAATATCACTTGTAGTGGAATGTCTTACTTTTTGTTACAACATGTAATTATACATGCTCTCAAAATCAATCTCTTAAAGAATCCACTTGTAAAAAATATATTTTACCGGGTAGTTCAGTCCATAAATAAGTTATAATTTTTAGATACCTATATAATTACTAATTTACAGTCATCATCTTGTTAGTTTCATTACAGTTGTTAGTACTTTTCTTCCCGTGGAATTTTTTTACTTGATCAACTGTAAATCGAAACTGTCAAAGTTGATTTTCTTTTGTCACCTCTATATCAGGATATATCGATATATCAGGTGTAGCTAATACATCTACTTTCCTTGTGCCTCACTCCATCATTTTTTTATTTTTAGAGAAACTGATAGATTAGGTAACTAGGTGGTTCCGGATAGGTAATAGATAACCCTAAGAAGTATATTTTACAATGCACCTTGAAAATCATATTGCTCGTTTAAGATATATGCGGCTTTTTCGTCAAATTTCTTAAAATAAGAGTAGTTACGAAGTAATCATAAATTCTTAGCAGCGGGTTGATCAAACTCGCATTTTGACATGGCAGGTGACAGTCTCTGAATTTACCATCTTATGTGAAAACATGGGCGTACCCACAGTGGGGACTTGCCCCACTCTTCGCCCTGACTTACACTTGTCTTTTTTTACGTGACGAAAAATTTAAAATAATTCATGTTTCATTGCAACACCGAAATTTAGTTATGGCAGAATACAATTGTATTATGAAGACACAACAATTTTAGTGTATGGCTAAAGATGAGCTTAAATTGAACAAACCAAGGGAATATTTGGTGACGCAACATGTAATCCCCCCCCCCTCCGTTCCTAAAAATTTTACTATATACGCTGAATTTGTCAGTACTGTAAAATAGTAAAGTATTGCTAATACTATCAGATTATCGATTAAATTTCCGGTTACAATACGACATAATCACATTACTGTCAACGTTGGACGTTTAATACTTTAATTTGAAAATACCTTTTATGACAGTTGTGAGATCGAAAGTTGATCAGAACTTGATTGAGATTGAACTTTTATTACGAGGATTGGCCTTCTTCTTCTGGTCTAGATTTCATCAAATTTGTAGATGAAGTAACAATGGACGTATCCATTTGTATTTTATCTACAAATTTTTATTAGTCAACGTTGTATATAAGCACTCCTGACATGAGACCAACCATCTTACGTGCTATAAACTAGAAACTTGTAACACTGGGTGCCAACCTGGGTTTTATTAAGGTGTCAAGAAAAGAAACCGATCGTTTCATAATAAAGCCTTTTCAGGGAAAGTGTCCTCTTAAATTGCGTAGGGGTACTGGGTTTGTTAATAATTTTTTTAAGACTAACGCATTCGTAAATCTTGTAAAGGTAATTAAAAAACAGATAATTGTAGCCATTTTCATACTACAAATTTGACACTCCATTTAATCAAGTTTTTTTATCCTAAGGATAGACATAAAAATATAAATGGGAGTGGCGTAACTAACAGTTTAAAATGAAACAAGTTCGTGCAGCCAATATAGATGAAATACATTTTATTGCTGATCAATTGTTTAACAAATAACACAGACTTAGAACCAGAAACAACAAAATAAATACCTAATCCACGGTAAGGAGATGACGAAACGAAAAAGAAGAAGTAACAAAAGAAATACAGTCAGAATAATATTATTACTAAATACACAAAATTTCTATACACATCTATCTATAGGTGATATTTTTAACTCCCAATAGATTATTTTTACACAGATATACAATATTTTAATTGTAAATATACAGCTCGATGATTATGTCACAGATAAAAATCATTTCATCCAAGTATCTATATTCCCTATACCTGAATTTAACTAAAATTAAAATTGTACTAAACATACTAACACCTTCCCGTTAGCCGGGCACGGAGGCCGCATATATAAATACAATGCATTAGAAAAATATCGTTTAATGTAACAGTGTTAGAGACTATTGTCCCAGAATTTGTCGTTTGTTTTTATAAATGCAAACATTAACACCAGTCACCGAATAAAGGAATGTTCAGACATAGTCCGTGCGAGGGGCCGAGGAGACCATCCGCCTCAATCTGTGAACGAACTGGAAGGCAAGAAGAAATCATTTCATCGTCCGTTTTTTCATTTTCCTCACTTTACCGCTCTTCGACGGCTTAGATTTTAGGGATATACTATCTAAATTTGGTAAGTCAGAGTCTGTCAGTTTGTCTGTTTTCTTGCTTATTGTAGGATATAGAGGGTTGTCATTGGCATCGTGATCGGAGCTGTCGACTCCGTTTTCCATGCGGACCGTATTCACATAGACCGATGGACTAACGTCCATGTCTTCGTCATCAGAATCTTGATAATTTCCATTAGGCTCGTGTCGTTTGTACTGGAAACTAGTACGTCTATATGCGACATCTTCGTCCGAATCTGCCGCAGTCTTTACTTTGTAGCGTCGGTTGATATTTTGGAGGGACTGGTTCTTCTGTAGTTCGCCTTGTACTGTATCTCTTATGTTCATCTCTGAAGTGGATTTCGTACAGTACTCCTCCTTGTCCGACTCTGAATATTTCCTCGACATACGGCGTTCGAAAGCCTTGTCTTTGTCAGCGTTTGTTTGCACAGTTATCGCTGCAGTCGGTGACTTTAGCTTCACTTCTGGGCCTCCACCGTAGATGCTTGTGAAGAACCTCCACAGGTCCTCGCTTAACTGGGCGTGGTCGGAGCCCGCCTTAAGCGAATATACAGTTGTGCCGTCTACCTCCTGTAAATATTTAATGTGGTTTTAGGTTATAGAATTTTTGGGGGCTATTATTGCGTACGTGCGTGAATGTTTACTCGATGTATTATTTGAGTATTAAGAAACAACATAAAGTTGTTTAAAGTTGTTTTGAAGAGTTTAGGTTTGTCACTATGTGATTGATTTATTATGTGATATATAAACGCAAATCATTATTTTTTTCAGGATATGAAAGTCAAATATTGTCTTTATTTCTATAGAAAAAAAACACCCAGTTATGTCCTGAAAGAGGTTAAATACCTTTACCTGTTTGGTGACGATGCCTGTGTTGTCAACAGGTGGAGGTGGTTGCTGCGTTTTGTTTCGCACGAAGGCTTGCCACTGACGGAACCAATGCATGCTGATAGCATATATGGCGTGGGGGCGCTCCTGTTCCTAAGTCGAAATATATTATGCAAAAATTTAAAAAGGGAAGGAAAACTTAATTTTTAATTTTATTCATATGGCAACACTAATGGTAACTGTCACTTAGGCTTAAGCAGAGCATCTAAGTTTTGAATCCCAACAGCTCGTTTGTTTTTAGTTACCTAGAACCGTTAGAGGTTGCTCGGCATTAGCTGCAGGCTAATCTATCCTTATGGATCGGGAAGGATAGAATACTAACTAGTAATTAGAGTATACTGGTTTATAGTTTTGCACTACCCAGGTCCCTCGACTCCTGTCGAGGTTTTTTTTTTAATTTCTTAAAGCTTCCGCTCGATGGCAACGGGCTTGCTCTCATTATATGAATTTTAAATTATAGATTGCAAAACATAATGTGTTTAATACGTTCATCCCTTCGACGGTACCACCGTGAGTTTATGTATGTGGATGTAATGAAATTTTAGATAACAAATATAAAATAGTGTAACGAAAAGGATGATGCAGCGTACTGACCTGGAAGCTGGCGTGCAGCTCGCAGAAGGCGGCGAGCTCGCGCGCTCGGCGCGTGCGCAGGCGCAGCGCGGCGCGGGCGCACACGCCGCACTCGTGCACGTGCGACACGGCTGGCCCGCCGCCGAAGCTACACACGACCGTTATGCTATAGTATCAGTATTCAAACAACCTAGTCATCTTTAATGTCGATCGAATCGACTTTGACAAACTATAATGTAATTTTGCATAAATTAATCAGATTTTCGAAACCCGTTAGCGTAGCACCGAAAATAAACACACTTATACTTATCTAAGTGCCATACTATATCTTTACATAGAAGAAAGGTATAAAAAAAATGATTAAACGTTATAAATAGTCGACAGTACAAATACTAACTTCTCGTATAGAAACTCCCAGAGAGGTTGTGGCACTAGCGCAGCTAGATGGTGAAGATGTGGAGCACGCTCAGGCCGAACGCCGCCATGCCAGCACACGAAGTCGCTGTTGTCTATGGGGCCAGGCTCCGCCCATGTGTTGAATCTAAGTGAAAAATACAGTATATAAATATTTTAATTTAACTTCAACCAAAATATTTTTGTTATGTTTGAACCTTGGAAACAAATTATTGTATTTCATCGCTCTCAAGGTCCTTATTTGATTCAAATTTGATACCTTAAAGATGGAAAATTAAGGAATGAAGATTCGTCTATTGCAATTCGTCATGATATAGGTACATTTATGTCGGAGATACGTTTTTAAAAGCAAATTATATCGTTTTATCGTATTATATGTTTATAGACATCCGTAAATAATGTGGTTTAAAAAAACCTTGGTTAAATACTTGTTTAAACCACATTAATTACATAAAAACACAAAAGTCATTACATTAATGATGTCATATGAGTGAGATGTCAATTAATTAATGGTGTCATTCTCACAGGATCCTCAAAACTTATTTACTTACTTGTTTATCCACTGCTTCGAAATATAAAATTTGATGTCATTGGTTTCGGCACTCGTTGACTCCAATATTTCGGCCGCCTTCTGACGCAGGTTGGTCATTTGCGGGTTGATTTTCCTGTAAGAAATTTCTTGATTCATCAGTCAAAACAAAATTACAGTGTCCAGTAGTAAACGGCTATGCACATTCATAACGCCATTATCAGGCTAAATTTAGCCCTATTAGGAAGGAAATCTGGACTTTAAATCTGAATTTCAAAACATTTGCTTGAGGAGTGGATAAAAAGTGCAAAAAAACTGTTGATGCCTAAATTATTATATAAGGCTACGCTTATATAAGGCTTGAGTTTAACAATGTTTATGAGACTACAATTAACACTGATAACTGAACATGATTTCTTAGACTTCCAAATTATTTATTATAAAATAAACATCGACGGAGTGCCAACAACTCCTAACTGATGAAATTAAGAATTCTTACTATACGTGCATTTTATAATTGGGTGGCAGTAAACCGGTTACCGTAGAGAGATACGAGAAAAAATTAACGAAATTATTTCCACAACTATACTTCATTAATGTTGCAACTAAAAAGTGCCTTAAAATATTTTACAAAAACATGCGAAAAGTGGGTTTGAACACAAAATGCTAAACAAGTAAATTTTTCGAAAATTGTCAGGTGGTATTAGCACTTGACCGTCGATTTACAACAAATTAAATTTAACAAAATCTTGCAATGTGTGTGATTCTCGACGTTATCGACAAAAGAAAAACTAATCATCTTATGGGTAGGATTAGTCCTCCCACAAGATGACCAGGTCCCCTCTTGCCGGTGATGTCATGTCCGGACCGGTGATCTAGGTGTATAATGGCGTGTTAATGTTCTACATAGATAATGAATGGCCAGAATTGCCTACAAGGTTTTGCAAATTGGGAAGAGACTAGGAACGGTAGTGAAGGGAAGGGTGATGATGCCGATGATGAAATCATTTTGATGATTATTTTAAGATGTTTAAGCACGCGCGGTACTAGGGTTAGGATATTATATCCTGACAGCAGTTTCGAGCGCCTTAGTTGCACATGTCTTATTCAGCGCGTATTGAAATGAAGATATGTATTGCGATGAAAATGTATTCAGTTAGTTTTTTTCACATCTTTTTTCTGAGCTCGTTGTGTTTACAGTATATTGAACAAAAAATTCCTGCACAATACACATAGTAAAAACCAATACAAAAACTGTTAGGCAAAATCAATTATAACTAGAACTTTAAATTATAAAGTGCCTTAAAGTAATGGTTAAAATATTGCACACGTGTTAACAAGACATTACTATATAAAATCTTCTTGTATCTTCTTGCTTTACTGATGATAGTCAACAAAAGAAAATATGGTCATCCTGCGGCATGGTTTTAACCTGCCTCAAGATGACCAAGTTCTCTGATGCTGGCCCGAGGTCACTTGTTCATTGCAGCTGGTTTTCTTCTTCAAACTAGGTAAACAAATTTTATACAGTTATTATGCGTAAATTGTAATCTACATAACACATTTTTATGTACAAAAGAAAAAGCCACAAATTGAATTTCAGGCAAGGTAATATGGTAAATTGTGTATTCATCATCAGCCTTATCGCAGTCCACTGCTGGACATAGACCTCACCCATTGCACGCCACTTAGATCTATCTTGGGCTTCTCGCATCCAGCTCCTGCCTGCCATCTTGCGCAGATCGTCACTCATCCTGGCCTGTGAGCGTCCTATACTACGTTAGCCGAGACACGGTCTCCACTCAAGAACTCGTTTTCCCCAACGGTTGTCGGTTCTGCGGCTAATATGGCTAGCCCACAGCCACTTCAGCTTGCTAATCCGGTGGGCTATGTCGATGACCTTGGTTCTCTGCCGGATCACCTCATTCCTGATGCGGTGATCCCTTAGAGAAACACCGAGCATAGCTCTTTCTATAGCACGCTGAGCGACTTTAAGCTTGTGGACCAGCCGTACCCTAAGTGTTCCGTTTCGGCTCCGTATGACATGACAGGTAGGACGCACTCATTGAAGACTTTTGTCTTTAGGCACTGTGAGATCGACGATAAGAAGACTCGACGTAGCTTCCCAAATGCTGCCCAACCCAACTTAATTCTTCTGTTTACCTCGTCCTTGAAGTTGTTTCTACCTATTTTATTTTTTATAAAAGCTTGTTCATAATTTGATTAATTACTAAAGTATATCTACAATAGGAAAGTATAGTTAAGTGTATTTTCTTAGCTTCTATTGACCTCGTCCTCGAAGTTATTTCTACCTAACTGCAATGTCTGCCCTAGGTACCCATATTTTTGAACAACTTCGAGAGCGGCACCGTGCACCGCAATCGCTTCCGGTAGTATGTTTATTGACCTTGGTTTTATCCGTAGGCCGATGCGTATGCTGTAGGTCTTGCAGTGTCTCTGACATGATAATGATGTCGTCTGCAAATCGCAATGTATATTACCTTGCCTGAGATACAATTATAATTCAAATTGTGTTAAGTACAATGCAATAATCTATTTTATTGGTACAAATACAGGTTAATGACATTAAACTTTAAAATAAAATATTAAATGAAAATAATGGTAAACAAGTCAGGCTAAGCCTAATGTGGCTATCATTGTTAAAAAAATTATGTAAATCTGGACTTTAAATAAATTTATTATTATATTATTATTATATCTTTTTCATTTGCATGTATCATGAATGTAGAAGAGCATTAAATAAACTTGATATTTTGTTTATTGTTCAATGATAAAGAGGCAACGATTTGTACATATTAATTTATGTCTGTGCGGTGACGGATTAGGAGTACGGAGTGTCACCACCCACAAAGAGAAGGATAACTTGACACAAACTCTATACCAAACGGTCTGTTCAGCGTGGTATAGTAGGCCAAAATCCCCTTTCTAAGGAGAGACCTGTCCAACAGGGGATTATTTAAGGCTGCTGATGAACTTAGGACACCCTTGGTCAGTATGTACAAATCCGTAGCGCCCGTAACTATGCAACTATTTAGCCATTCGTATAAATAGGAATCTTGAAATCTTCTTGCTTCTCCTTGGTGCTTCGATGATCGTCAACAAAAGAAAAGTTGGTCATCTGGCGGCTAGGTTATACCTGCCACAAGACGACCAAGTTCCCTAATGCCGTATTGTGGTCAATATTTTCTTGAACTTCTGACTTCTGTCTTCTGTCCTCCTTGACACAGACTTTTCAACCTTGATTATCCATACATACCGTCAACGCATGTATTTTTTTATTTCATTTCGAACAAATATAAAAAAAGGATGATTTCGTAAATATAAATGCATTGTCTTTTTATTACAAACAGGGACACAAGGTGACTAGGAGAATACATTATTTGTTATATATTCCTTTATACATTATGGATGCGATATGTCTCCTATTTCATAGTCTCTGTAAAATCTTGGTGTGCACAATGTATATGAAGTAGTATACAGCATGTTTTAGAAAGGTGTGATACAATAGTAGACCCCGCGACGAATGCTAAGAAATCGTATATTGATACTGAAAATTTTAATTTCAAAATGTATCGATATAGTTAATATTTCATATGAGAGAGGCCTGAAACTGTAGATATTTATTATTAAGGACAATGATGGAATGTCAAGATTTGAAAAAAAAACAATAAAATTCACCTGAAAATGCAAAAGCGTCTTCCTAAGAAAAAATAATGTATGCTAAATCAACTATCTAGTTGTTGGCTACACATTAAGCTCCAAAATATAATATTTCTATAACACATAATAATATACATTGTAAGTAATAGTAACAAACACATACGATACAGTCTAACTAAAATATACAGAAGAAGAAAGTGTAGATAAAGACATACCTATAGAAGAGCACGTAGGCCTCGGCATGAGGCAGGTGGTGCAATGGCAGCGGCGAGACAGCGTGATCATCGAACATGTACCAGCCGCGACCGTTGCGAGCTATACACGTGTAATGCCCCCCACCCGCTGTACCGGCGTGACAGATGACAGCACATAGCTCGTATCGGGTTATCTTTGATGTGCAGTCTGTAGACAAAGGAATTTAAAATCAAATTTATACAGGAACCATGTTGAGCTTGTTTTGAGTAGGAAAGTTACAGATGACATATTTATTTATACATAGTGTTCGGCTAAATTCAAACTAAACTACCTACAATATTAGATGAATGTATTATTTTTGTGGTGTTTCTGTGACAGCAAAAGGGTTATGTTTTTCGAGTGTATGTTATGTATTTACGTATATTTCTTTGGCAAAAAGGGTTATGGTAAAAGGGTTAGTGTTTACGTATAGTTCTTTGGCACGCTCTGTACAGAGATATAAGCATAGAGTAAACAATAGCCCTAATCTTGCAATATAGGCAACGAGAGAGATGGATAATAGATAGTACCCTCTGTCTCTTTCTAGTCAAGCTCTGCGGTTGGCTGGGGAAATTTCTAATTTTTCGTCTGTTCTACGATCAAAACCATGCAGACTTCACGATAGCCAATCGCAGCTTAGCTAAACAGACACGAAGGAACTCTCGAGCATCCATCTCTCTCGTTACATGTATCGCTTCCACTCACAGGCAACTGCGTTAAGGCAGACCGTGTTCTCTCTATAGTAAAAAGCTTTATGGATTGTCTGTGAAAAATTAAAATGGCCGGTTTTCTGTGCCATTTTGTGTACCCCTTTGTTCAAAATCTATTAAGTGGGGTATCAAAATAAAGAGCTTCATAAACGTCGTACAAAAATATATCATCATCATCAGCCTATCACAGTCCACGTAATAATTTAATTCTTTTCTTTTAAATATATAACTTTACACAATTTTCAAGCAGTCAGGTCTTTTGTGTTTTTTTATTATTATTTTATTACTTCTTTTTTCATTAAATTTCTATAAATATTAGCATCTTAATTTAATACACTTTATTGTATGGCTGTTGTAACCACTAAGTAATTATATTAATAACGTTAGTCTGGATTGAATGCATTATATAATAAAAGTATCTACTATAAGGCCTAACATCAGTTGAATTATGCCTAAAATGGAACGAGACAAAAATAAAATGTTTATTAAAACATAGCACAAGAAAAAAATACTTGTTATAACTAAAACTAAAATATTTAAACAATGAAACATTAGACCAAGTATCATTCATCACTAGGCAAGTTCTATGGCTTTTTAATGTTAAACTGTGCCTACTAAATTAGGCCTACCTAGCTAGGCTATTAGGCATATGTATACTCTTGTGGTAATAGCGTGATGTTATGTGGTTTGTGTTTTCAAGAAATGAGATATATTAAATGTATTTTTTCTTTATATATATATTTAAACTAGAAACGACACAGCCGCGACAGCTGCTTGTGGTTTTTAACTAATACAATAACACTAATTTCAGTTTTAAGAGTCAAAACAAAAAACTAAAGATACGACCTTAAACATAAAGTTAGGTATTGTAATCCAAGCTTAAGATAACAGAGTTCAGTATTCAAATGAACCGGGGTCAAAATGTTAAACCGAAATAAACCTTCAATAGAATATCTTGAAATGAAATATTTATAGTATATTCACTACTAACATGTTATCAGAATAATCAAAGAATATACGCAATCACCGCGAAGTATTTAAAGAACACCGTTACAATTTTCCAATCTGTCAGTTGAGTTGAAGCGTAGCCATTTAATATACGACATTGCATTGTGGAAAATGGCGCGGGGCGTTGGCTCAAGTACCAATTTCAAACTGACTTATTCGTAGTTTCCATCAGGAATAGAGTTTAATTCTTTTTAAATCACAATCTTATTAGATTAATTGCCGAGGATTTTAAGATAGATTCAAAGTTCTATCTCTTCATTAGTCTTTACAAAATAAAAATAAAAAAACAAAAAAAAAAATGCTCAAAAATCAGGGCGTCAAACCAGAGGATCTTAAATCACAATCTTATTAGTTGAATTTTTAAGGATTTTAAGATATTTATAACAGAAACGCATTACACGGGAGTGGTCTTAGTCTTCAAAGGACGAGCACTTGCTAGTACACTGAACCGACTGTAAATCAATAATTGCACCCTGCACCCTAACCGTGAAGCCACCCCGACACGACCATAACGTTTTAGTTACATGCTCATGTTTTATTCATATTTAAGTGTTTCGAAATATCATTGAAATGTTGTTAATTTCAGACACTGTTGTATCTTAAAAGATAACTGAATAACGAAGTTATTAAAAAAAGGTAGTTGGAATGCTAAACAAATCTAGGTAAAACGGTCTTAAAATGTAACTTACCTTAGAAAATTTTCATATAGTCGGCTGACAAAGTAACTTGAGTAAACTTTCAAGAAATTATTTTTCTGTACCTAGCTCCGCACAAAATATGCTCCAGTATAGAGTTCGTTGTTGCAACTAAGGCATCGCCGCATCGTCGGACGGATGCATACAATTTTACTCAATAAAGGATTGCAGTATAAAGTGGGGAGTAAATTGTCGTTATAAGTGATATCAGATACGAGGGTTTAACAACGGAAGTATGCAATTGCAGTGTATGCAATTTTGTACTACATATGCACTGTTTTGTTGCGTTTATAGCTTGAGTTATATTTTACGTTTCAAATTTCATTTTGAAGTAGCTGTGCCTTATTTTATAGAAAAAAGTACTTCCAGTTTACCTTGAGTTTCTCTACTTTGAGGACAACATTTTTGCCTTAATATCTGATTTGGACTATAATAAAGAAATAATTAATCGAATTATTTCGATCTATTTAAATTTATTTATATGGACAATTAATTTGGCAAAACAGCTTTGGCTGTTCAAGTGATGTGCAAGGGACGGCTCCTATTACAGCAGAAATTCCTATTTAATTGTCTGTTTAAATGATAAATTGACTTGTTTAAAATTAGTTTATACAAAACCCTTTAAATGATACTGAATGTTAAAAAATACCTAGAAAGGTATAAGATGAAAACGAAATCACATCACTTATGTCGGACGTCTAAACGAAACTTAAAATACTCAACAATATGGCCGATAGCGAACTCACGCATAATTTTAAAATTACAAAATAGATTTCAATATCGCAGCGAATTCAACAACATCCTTTTACAATTTATTAAATCTTAGATTAAAAAATACAAGAATCAGTTTCAGAAAATTTCATAAAGAAACTAAACAATTTCTCACATAACATTTTAATTTATTTTAACTACTCTGCTATTATCCTTAGCGCCGTAAGATATAAACGATTGACTTGTTCTTGATAACAATTATTTTTGTCAGCACCAATTTGAAGTAAAATATTGAAGCTTGAAAAAAAACTAACATAAAACAAATAAATACATACCTGCTTTCGTGTGGTTCCATCACAACCGTACTAAAGTATAGAGTTTTTGCCAAACTGCCAGACTATTCCAGACGGGGCGGAGAATGATAGACTGACGTCTGAACGCAACAAATTCATTCCCCTGTCTGGCAACTGGCTTTAGTATTCCGCCGTTTATCAATAATCCCCCGTCTGTCCCCCCCGAAACCCGTGTCTGGGCTGAGGGCATTCAACCCTTAAACGATCAATATGTTCTAAATACCTATCAATTGTCACGGCGCAGACGGGTGCGCTCTGATACATTTTACAGTTATTTGAATGATATGTCTAGACAAACTAGTTATAATAATTTTTGACTACGTGTGTTGTAATGGGGGACAAAATAATGATGTAAAGAAAAAAGTCAATTATATATACATATCAGACACAGTAGTAGAATTTATTACTGGTTCTAATAAATCGGATTATGTTAGATGTCATTTACCAAGACTTAGGTTTAATATATTAGAAAAACTTTGCTGGTAAGTTTTTCTTAAATATTAAATCGCATCGTTTATCCGCAGTCTTTAACGCTTATTTCCCACAGGTGATGTTATATGTTTTGTTATTTATTCACTATCTTGTCAATTTGAAATATTTTCAATTTGTATATGATAATATTATTTACATTTAATATTAATACTTGACGAGTAATTTGTACGCATTTTTAAGATTATTACGCGACCGCAGTAACATAAAATTTGAAAGTTAAAGTTTAAACATAGAAGAAATGCGTTAAGTTATAATTTATAAGCAATATGTCTAGTGTGCGTCCAGTATATATACCTACCTTTAACCATGGTAAGTGACAATACAATGACAGTTCATGTTATATTGGACAATGAAATAAACTAAATACGACATATGGTGATACCACCACCAGGCGTTCTTTAGTAATAATTAAGGTACGAATGACAAATAGCTGTAAACGGGCAACATATCACTAACAGATGCCATATGTTTTAGACATATATGTTATATTTCATCGTCAATTACCTGACCCATTTTAAACATACAAACCAAATAAATACATGGCGAAGCAAGTTTTTTTTTTACACTGTGTGTAAATATTTTATTTTTATTACATTACTTATTCTTTTACATTTTTTTACACCACACTACCCGTGAATTCGTCTATTTACAGTTCATCCAAATGACAAATGATAATTATTTCTGCAAGTAAATCTTTTCAGATAATTTTACAAGTCGGACTTTATAGCTAGAAGGCGCCGGCATTTCCTAAGACTCACTCTGCGAAGAAACGCCGAAACAAACCACAGAGGTGTCTTTTTTTAAGTCGGTGTACAATTTTAAAGAGGACTATGTAAATGCAGTATAGGGTCTAGGTTGGCCTTTTGAAGAAAGTACCATAGTTTTGCTTGGTATACCATAGGGTTGCTTTTTAGCGATAAGGCCGCCATTTGTACATGGTCATTAATTTGATGCATTATTATATGTTTGATGTACTAGTTGTAACATTACTATAATAGTAGGGGAGCCCTAGAAGGGATTTCAGGATTTACTGGACAGTGTCAGATTAACATAGTAGGAATACTTTACACCCAGTTGAGTACCTCCACCATACATGAGTCCTATATATAGGGGGGATTGTCTAGGGCCGACCATGAGATTAGTTGAAAAAAAATCTATTGTCAAAAATACTCGAGCATGTAAGATTAAGGTAAGTTGAA